TTTAGGGTTGGTTGGTATGTTTGGTTAAGGTCCCGAGGGCCTCGGGTGAATTTCGGGTGCTTAACGGATTGGTTTGGGACTTATGCATTTTGCCGGAATTGCAGCACCTGTTGTTTTCGCACCTGCACATTTTGGATCGCAGGTGCGGAGTAGGCCTTGTCAGCTGGGATTGCAGGTGCGGCCGAGGGACCGCAGAAGCGGGTTCGCAGATGCGGCCCCAGCCCAATTAAGTGGATTTCGCACCTGCGATGATTCTTCTGCAGGTGCGGGACCGCAGAAGCGGAAATCGCTAGGCACAAAATAGAGAATTCGAGGTTTGAGCTCATAACTCCAAAATTTGATTGAGAGCTCAGTAGAAGGCAAAATTTGGAGAGATTTTCGGAGGAAGTTTGTGGGTAATGATTTCTAACTCTTTTTTGATTATATGCAATTTATTCTAAGCTTGATTTCATCAATTAATTTCGGATTTGGGACGAAAATTGAGAAAAATTGAGAAAAGTTCTTAGGCCGAATTTTGGGATTTTGATCGAGATTTTGGTATTGGATTTGAGTGAATTTAGTATGGTTAGACTCGTGAGTGAACTGGTGTTCATAATTTGTGACTTTTACCCGATAGACATGGGCCCGGGGAGGATTTTTGGGCATTTTTCTATTTTCTCACCTTAGCTTTGATTTCATTAGCTAAATTAGTTGTTTGTAGCTATATTTACGTTATGTAATTGATTTGATTAGATTTGGGCCACTCGGAGTTGGATACTCGTGGCAAGAGCATGATTTCGGATTGACTGGAGCTTGGTTCGAGGTTAGTGGCTTGCCTAACCTTGTGTGGGGGAACTCCCCTTAGGATTTGGTATTGTTTGATATATGAATGTGTCACGACCCAATTCCCATACCCGGTCGTGATGGCGCCTCTCGTGAAGACAAGGCCAGCCAACTAACCCAAATCCTTTCACTAACAATTATTAAACATAAATGAATAGAAGATGCAACTTAATGGCATTAGAAATTGTTAATTACTACCCGACCGGGGTGTCACAAGTCACGAGCATCTAAGGAAACCTTAACACAACTACAGGCCAATAAATATATACAAGTAAAATTTCTGGAAAACAAAAGACAACATCCGGTGCCGCGAACGCTGGCGGTCACCTTGCTCAGCTACAATAACAATACCTTTAATCCGCTAATAACCCGCTACCGGGTGAACGATACCTACAACTGCACGCGAGGTGCAGGGAGTAAAGTGAGTACTTCCAACTCAGTGAGTAATAAGAGTAAATAATAACTGAGAGGCAAGAAATCACGTAAGAGCACTCCATCATGCTATATAGGACAGTACAACCCTTTGAGAAAACAGTAAAATCGTAAAAAATCCTTTCGAAAATATCTGGCTCAGTTTAAAAACCTCTTTTGAAAATATCCTTTTCCAACAGTCAAGCAAATGAACGCGTAACCAGATAGTGCAAGTCCGCACATAAGTCAGCCCCTCGGGCACAGCACTCCATCAACAAATAAAACCAGGGTATCTGGTAAATAGTGCAAGAAGTAGCATGGATGCCAATGATATGAGAGTGCTGAATGTTATGACACGTAGTACAAACAGGAACCAATGCATGAATGCAATGCAATGCACATGACCGCTGCGGCGCGCAGCCCGATCCATTTGGGTACCCGCGCTCACTGTGGGGGTTCAGACTCCGGAGGGGCTCCTATAGCCCAAGCGCAATATCAATATAACACCGCTGCGGCGTGCAGCCCGAGCCATCCACATATCCAGAAATCACTATAACACTGCTGCGACGCGCAGCCCGATCCATGCTCAGTCCAGAAATGCACATAAGCCCCTTGGGCAATAATAAAATATCAGTTCTCAGTTCAAAAAGTCAGTAAAATATCATTTAAGTTTCCAAATCATGAAAAATGGCTGAATTTGTAAAACAGTATTAAAACCCTGGACCGAGATCAAATAACATGCAAAGTAATGCAAAAACAGTGATATCAATCCCCGAAGGATTCAAATAATCGGTACGAAGCCCAAAACATGGCAATCAACCCAAATCATGATGATAACAAGTAGTTTTAGTCACATACGTAGTAATTTCATCAATCGGGACGGACCCAGTCACAATCCCCAACGGTGCTCTACCCCACGCTCGCTATCCGGCATGCAAGTCACCTCAATACAGCACTATGATGTGCATATCCGGGGTTTCAAATCCTCAGGATATCATTTACAAGTATAACTCACCTTGAACCGGCGGAATCTCAAGCCCGCGACGCCTTTGCCCCTCAAATCGGCTTCCACGCGCGTCGAATCTAACCAAAATCAGAGCGAATGCATCACAATATGCTAAGGGAACAATACCCAATCGAAAACAATCGAAGAATAGCAAAAATCTCGAATCTAGCAAAACCCGAGCCCCGGACCCACTTCTCGAAAAATCAGAAAATTAACATCAATGGATTCCTCATCTCGCCACGAGTCTATACATATAAAATTTACCAAAATCCGAGCTCAAATGCTCCCTCAAATCCCAAATTTAAATCTCAAAATCCCAAGCCTTAGTTCATCAATTTTAGGCTTAATTCCATGAATTTCTAGGTTAATTTCACATAATAATCATGTTTTTAACTCAAAAATCTTACCTCCAATAAACTCCAGTCGAAACCCTCTTTAATTGCTCCCCAAAAAGCTCTCAAGATGTTCAACAATGGTGAAAAATATCCCAAGCTCGCGGAGGAAATATTTATAATTCAGCCCAGCACTTTCGCTTATGCGGTCCCCTTCCCGCTTATGCAGGACCGCTTCCGCGTCCTTTATTCCGCTTCTGCGGAAGTTCCATTCTCGAACCAAACCGCTTTTGCGGTCACAACATCGCATAAGCGATTCCGCTTCTGCGGCTACACTATCGCTTCTGCGAAACCAGCGCCCAGGCCTCTTCACCGCTTCTGCGATAAATCCATCGCTTAAGCGTGTCCGCTTCTGCGGTCCAAGACTCCCAGAAGCGAATATACCAGCTGCAGCAGGCTTCAGCAATATGCAAATTCCAAAACTCTCCGTTTAACCATCCAAACTCACCCCGAGGCCCCCGGGACCTCAACCAAAAGTACCAATACATGCTAAAACATCATTCAAACTTGTTCCAATCATCAAAACACGTCAAACAACGCTAAAACCATCAAATTACATCAAATCCAAGCCTAAATTCTTTAAAAACTTCCGAAACACGCATTTGATCAAAAACCCGACCAAATGACGTCCGAATGACCTGAAATTTTGCAAACATATCCAAAATCACCCAACAAAGCTACAGCAACTCTCGGAATTCCATTCCGACCCTCGGATCAAAATCTCACCCATCAACCGGAATTCGCCAAAATACTAACTTCGCCAATTCAAGCCTAATTCTACACTGGACCTCCGAAATCAATTCCGATCACACTCCTAAGTCACAAACCATCTCCCTAAGCTAACCGAAACATCGGAAATTACATCCGAGCCCTCTAACTCCTAAGTCAACGTCCGGTTGACTTTTCCAACTTAAGCCTTCTTAAAAGAGACTAAGTGTCTCATTTTCTACCAAAACCAATCCAATTCAACTATGACACACCAAATACTGATAATGAAACATGAAGATGCATAAAATGGGGAAACGGAGCGGTAACTCATGAGACGACGCGTCGGATCGTCACATCCTCCCCAACTTAAACCATCGCTCGTCCTCGAGCGTACCCAAAGTTGTTCTAGAAGCCAACCAATAGCTGAATGCCCTTACCAATCATATACCCAGGGTGATCCCCCGCCACCCTATCTCATATAGGTCCGACAACTCAATATAGCTGAAATTTCGCAGTCCATTTAAACCATAAACCATAGAACCACATTGCACTTTCCGAAATCATACACAATATCAGAACCTCACATCTATACCCAGAATAAACCCGAACCAGCTGTAATAACCCATACTTGCAACCTCAGGTGAAATCATATGATATACCTTTTATTAGCTAAAGTCTTATTCCAACACTTACATATACTGCCAACAACAAATGAAACACGCGATAAACCGTAACCATTCATGAGTGGTTCAAGAACCAAAATGCTCTTTGTAAGGTTTATACTTGCATCTGCACCTTTACTCCAGGAGGCCATCCTTCTGGAAGATGCAGAAAGAGTTCATGAAAGCCAATGCTCGGAGATCTTTAAGGAGGTGGTGGGGTTCCCTATGGCATCTCCTAAATTGAAAATAATATGTAAACCATCAAAAATGGGCAAGGAAGTGGTTTATTGAGATGGCCAGACCCCTTTTATCATCATCTCGTCTCTTGTCTGTACGAGTGACTGGTGTAGAGGATCCTATATTATTTATCTTGAATTGCATGTTAACCTCGGATATTTATATTTCTGGTTCCTTAGTGACTAGTGTAGAGGATCCTATATTTATGTATCTGAATTGCATGTTAGACTTGGATATTCTATAATTCTGGTTCCTTATACAGGTTTTTTAATGTTGGTTCTTGGTTTTCGACTAACACTATTTAATCGTCAATTAATTGAATATGCTCCTTTGCTCATCTTTTCTATGCTAAGAGAGCTAGTTTGTGTATGCATTTACTCCCTATTTTAAGTTAATAATTTGTTGATTTGCATTTAATTTGAGCAAGATAATCACTTGATTAATTTCTGGTGGTGACTGATTCAATGAAGCACAACTCTTAATTACCTATACCATATATATACACACATTAAATAAAGGTAAAAATTGGCAAAAGTAATGGTAAATGTCGTGTTAAGTACACTTCATTAATCGATCTTTGACAATTGCCTTAACAACAATTAAATCGGTCTTCTAATTTAAGGTTTATCCTGTGTAATATGCTGGGTTTGTTGCTGTTCTAATTTTAGGTTTATGGTACGCAATGTCATTGTGAGATAGAAACAGCCTCTCTGCCCTTTCGGGTAGGGGTAAGGCCTGTGTATGTATTACCCTCTCCAGACCCCACTGTGTGGGAATATACTGGGTAGTTGTTGTTGTTGTTGAATGTCATTGTGAGATAAGCTGCAGAAGCGGAAGTGGATGCATTCCACTGTATATTGTTCCTTTCTTCCTCACTAGCATCAACAACTTCCTCCTTGAACCTCTTCCAATCGTTAGCACAATATCGGAGCAGGTAGATGTAGTGTCTTCCAATGGCAGTTTTGTTGTGTAAGTATGGGATCTTGTTATGTGTTCCTTCAATTTCGATAAAACAAAGAGACTTTGAAGGATTTCCATTCATACTGTTGAGACACTTGGTGCAAATTTTTTGAAGGATTGCGTTTTTTCGTGTAGAATATCCCGAGCTGATGTATGCAGAAAGAACTGGTGTAAATAACGAAATATTTACAGTTGTACAATATTTTTAAAGGCAGAGGCTAGATACAAAAATAAAATTTCAATTATGAGGAGATTATGCTTTTAATTCCTGCTTTTTATTAACTATTAGAGTTTTTCTTCTTCTATTTGTAGCAACCACAGTGAATGCTACAAACTACTTGCCTTGTGACTGCTCTATCCCTTCACTGTTTATTTATATGTTTCATAACCATCGACATTGTGATGGCAAAATGAAAATCCAAATTGGATACACCATTTTTGGACTGAGTTTAATAGTTCTGATATGGATCATAGTATCATCGACACAATTAACCATTCAATTACATGCTTCAAGGTACATAATGTATATATATTCAGAAATAAAACAGGGTGAAATACCACCTTTATGTGCATTCAGAAGTAAAACAGGGTGAAATACCACCTTAGCTATAAGAGGCACTCATTAAAGGGTGATGTAGATAGTGAAGTGACTATTGTTTCTACTCCATCTGTTGTATGTTGATCTACATGAGGAAGAGTCTCAACAGTGGCATATCCTTTAGCATTCTCATACTTGCCAGTCCCTCCAATGATGGCAATGTGAGAAATAGGTGAGGCTGTCCTGTGAACTCCAAAATGTGCTGTCGAGGACTCGAGGCTCAAGTGTGGCTGGTGCCATTCGAAGATCTCATGGAGTAAAGTCCTTGTGCCTTGCAAAGAACAGATGATCCCAGTTCATGCACCTCAGTTATTTCATTGTCAACAACAGATTGAGCCAAAGGTGAGCTGGTGAAGGGACAAGCCAGCAGGAAGCCGTCCAGCTGTTACAAAAGGCTGGCTGTTAGTTTCCACCCATTAACTACGTTGTTGTTGCCACATTTTTTTGTAGGACAGTGTTAGCTTGTTGCTAATTGAGGCCTAAAAGGAATGGATTATTTAAACATGGCACTACAATAGCTTATTGATGAAATGACTATGGAAATATAGGAAGGGAAGAGAATGCACTTTGGAGGAAAGTAGTGTGTTTCAGTGATGGAGGTAGCTACTGGCACTGCCCCGGACGAACCTGATTCAGCCAGTAGATCTGCTGGAGGAGCCATGTGGAAGCAGGGATGGAGGGATCAGCAACAGGTGCTAAGGTGGTATCAGAAGTAGTGACAGTAGTTGGTAACCGGTTACTTGGAAATGTGGCAATTGGTGCCACCACAGTAGCCACAACAGGATCAACCATTCATGATGGATTAGACAGCGGACGCACATCATCAAGGATTCTTGCTGAGTTGACACAGCCAAAGCTGAGGGCTAGGAGCAAAATGCAGAAGGTCGCTTGGAGTGTGTTAGAGGTGAGTTGGGAAAGTTTAGCCATCTATTTTCTTGTGAAAAATTCTTGGATGATAGATGAGAACAAACAAATGAAGAGTTTAGTAGATTCTTGATTGATGAGGAAAGAGTGAAGGCTCAATGGATATATATAGTTTGACTATGAGGCGTTTTCTATAAGGAGTGATCGATACCCTGATATATATCTTTTGTTGCAAAACACCAAATCTGAAACTTCATTGTCAAAAGAGCAAGAGGTAATACATGATATTGATAAAGTAAGGTAGATTATTCAATCTCAAAAAAGGTAAGGAAGATTATTTGGACGCAAATCAAGGTAAAATGGCTAACCTTTAATACTCTCTTTTCTCTGAATGAGCTTGGCGGTAACTTTTAGGTGAAAGTCATGATTCTTGTGAACTTAATGATTCTTTACTTGTCAATCAAAAGGAATGATATGAGCATGCACTAGTTGATTCTATTTGTGAAAATAATGTTGGAAAAAAATGGTGAATCTAAATAAGTCCCTCTGGCAATAAAATTATGCATGAAATTGTAAGGTTGGAGAGTCGCTTTCTGATTAAATGTGATGTTATTGATCATGGCTTTTCCTTGATACCGATCAAGCATTTGGGTAAAAATTAAACAGGTGCTTTCCAAGAGTAGCTTGTTGACAAAAACTGGGACACAGATTCCACAGAATTAAATCCTTTCTTCCCGTAGACATTTCAACAAACACTTGATGGCCATTACAGAAGCAGCAACCAAACAACAGGAGAGTAAATATGGCAGCTTGTTCTAGCAAAGGAGGGTGCCCAAGTGATTATGCACTATATAGCACTTTCAATTTCGGTAGTGTCGTTGATCTTCTATCTTTTTCAGCTAAATCCATCAGCCTCTAAGTTTATAAGGCTGCATATACTAAAAATATTTGCTTCTCACTAAATAGATGTAATCAGTATATTGTGGTGTAGTTTATCTCCTGTTTTGCTCCCTTTGAATAGATTTTAGCTTTAATTGTTACCTTGCGTTATCTGATTGATGAAGATGGAATCTTTGACAAACTGAAGGTATTTTTTTATTTTTATATTTCTGCTGAATTCAAGAAAACATCGTATCTTGCTGGAAACTTTTTCCCCTTAATATGAGTTATAACCAGTGGTGGAGCTAGGAATTGAAGAAGGGGATTTGAATAAAATAAGAATGTTATACTTCTGCTCTGAACATATAACCTAAAACGATTTTCTAACCTTTTTTGCCATTTCACTATAATTTTCCTTATACTGGATTCAACAATTTATTATGTATAAGCAAAAAATTCATATTTTCCCTATTTCCATTGTATAATTTCCCGACGAAGGGGATGAAATTGAGCTCCCTTGCACCCCTTAGCTTCGCCCCTAGTTATAACTAGCGGCAGTGCTAGGTGGAGGCAAGGGGGTTCAATTGACTCCTTTGTGCCGGAAATTATATTGTGCGATATGGGCAAAAATGATTTTTTGGTTATATATAACTCCTTGACATAAGGAAAGATCCTAATTTAGTGATAAAAGGAGATTCAAAAGTTGCTTTGGGTTATAGGTTCAAATCTTTGATGTTTGAATCCTCTTATGTGAACTCCTTGCTCCCCTAGTGGTTACAACGAGTCTGGTTGAGATGGAAGTGATCAAGCTCGGGAATATGAACCTAGCTTCCTTTTGTTTCGATCATTTGACAAAGCAGGATGAAGAAGGTGCATTTTATGATTTTTGTGTGTTTACAACATCTATTGCTTCTGACTAGATGGATAAAATGGAGGTGGGAAGAAAATACATAAGTAGAGCTAGCTTCCACCTGTCTTCTTCCCACTTTGAGTATGCCAATGGGGCAAGGCGGGGGAAGTCTTAGCAGGATGGGGCAAGACGGGCGTTAAAAATTATGAACTTTAAGGTTCTTAAGTCTTTTCTGATTTGATTCCTTTTAAAGTTTCCAATTCTTTTGGTTTATGCTAATAGTGGATGTAAAACTAGCATCTTTAATAAATTGATATTTTGCTTATCTCCCTTAAATGATAAAGAAAATGTGTTACAGAAAAATGATGTTATTGAATGGTGATACATCAAAAGGAATTTTACGTAGTAGAAGAATTGCAACAACAACATACGGGCATCAGTGTGGGGTCTGGGCTAGTAAAAGAATTAGTAATGATAAAAAAAATAAACAACATAAACTAATGAAAGAAGAAAGCTTAATATGGCATAGTAGAATATAACATAATGGGATGGGGTAAGGTGAGATGTGTCTGGTGAAATCATACCTATCTCTTCCCATCGACATCCCTAACTTTTTTCTTCTTAAACTTGCTCCCATTTGTAAGGACGAAGCTGCCAAAATTTTGTTGTCTTGTCCCTTTCTTTACTTAATTGGGTGGTATGGGTTCAAAGACTAATAGCATATCCAGAGGCATGATGGTGATAGAGGGTAGGATGTAAGCGAAGGAGAGAGCAAAATAATAGAAATGTGCTCCATTTTTTGAAAACTGTAAAGGGTGATACAAGAGGAGGTTTGGTAGGTTGGGAGTGTCTTACGGTTTTGTAGTTCATTCCGTTGGTTATTTTCCCTTATGCTTAATGCTTTTTGGCTTAGTGCTTTTCGCCGACCTCAACTTGTTTGGGACCGAGGCGTAGTAGTAATAGTTGTTGTTATGCTTTTTGCATGTGTAGGTATGTGATTGTGTTCTACTATTAACATTTAACGCAACTTTTAATATACATGTGTGCCATTACAATAATGAGATGCTCACTGAATGTTTGTCGTTTATGTATTCATCAAGTAAATCCAACTTCAATTTTTCTTGTGCTGGAGCTTTTTATGATTAATTTACACAGTTATTGTTTAAAGTTTCATTAGTATGTATATCCATTCAATGCTTTAGCTTTTACTTCCTTTCAGGTTACATAAGATGTTGCCATTAACCACTTGAGTTTCCTCACTTTTCCTGTAAGCGACATTACCTTACCTGATTCACAAGATTCCTAGGCCTAAAGACGGTAGCTTTTGGGTTGTGGCAATTCAAGTTTTTGCGAAGCTTCAATCTCTTATTGTCCATTGTGGTAGCTACTATTTCCTTTCCCTTATAGGGGTTATACTTCAGACTCCAGTTTAATATCCCAAAACATTAAGAAGTTGTTTGGTTTGATGTATTAGCTCAAATAGTTATGGTATAAAAACTTGCATTGTTTTATCCATAGTTTGGTTACTAATTTCAGTCTCAACGTATCCAATCCATGTATAACTTATACATCAATTCATGTTTAACAATATCATGATTACAGTATACATTGATAAAGCATTCAAAATGCCAAAACTACCCTTGCGGATCTCCTCAAACCCTTTTCTAAACCCTTATTCAGTTTTAAACCAAACACAAGTTTAAGTTGTACACTGTATATCCAATTTATAATACAATGAACCAAGTGCCCGATAAAAAATTATCTTTACATTACAATCCCTGCATTATTAATCCATGTATCACAATCCCAGTAACTTGTTTAACCCTAGGGGGACTAGATTTTAATTTTCCATGTAATATTCGTATTGGCTTCTGCAGATCTCCCTCAATTTTCCGAAGTTCAGAAAGAGGCATTGGTGGAGGTCTTGCTATCTATGGGCAGGTTATTTACTCTTCAATCCATAAACCGAATATGAATTGGTCTTCAAACTTCTTGCTTTTGCCTTTATCTGGTGTTTACTTGATTGTTTTGTAGAATATATACAGTCTTCCTCGCTTCCAGAATGGAGTGAAGGTCCATTTTATTTTGTTTGCTGTTGAGCTGCCATATTACACAAGTGTTCCAACTCTATTATATATTTGTGAAGTAAGTTTAATCTCTTTAAGAAATCATCAGAAACTTTTGTTCTTTCTGATTGATGAGATGATTAAGTAACATTAGCCTGATCACTATTTAATTGAGAAGCTGTAGAATTATGCAGCCTCCTCACCCCATCACCCATTTCCTGGAAGAAAGTAATGGAATAGAAAACAACTGCAGATCTCCAGAGGAAAATAAAATATTGGACTATCTTTGAATATTACACCGACCTTGAGATAAGGTATAACTAAAACTGCCTGGTCGGTTAACCCTCCTAATGATGTGTGGCAGCTGAAATAAAAAGAAAAAACTCATCTACTGTGTCTTTTCTGTACTTCTCTTTCTTTGCCTCCTTCTCTCTCTCTCTCTCTCTCTCTCTCTCTCTCTCTCCTTTCTACTTTTTTTCTTAGGAGATATTGAAAAACTAGCATTCAGAGGGTCTTTTTCTTTGTGCTATTATTGATGCAGGTCACATTGAAAACCTTATTTTCTTGTTATGCATGATGTTTCTGGAGATGTCTGCCAACAATTAAATCATCCTATATTTTTCTTCCACCGATTCTCTTGGCCTGGATAGCTGGTGTTGCCTGTAAGAATCTTCAACTTGAGTTTTATAAACAAGTATCCTTTTGAGTTTCTTCTTGAAATATTAATATTTTGTTAAAGATAATGAAAAATGAAAACATATGGGAAGTATGCCTTGTAAACCTACACCTTTTCAGTTGTAATACTTTAAGTATTTTAATTTTGTGTTTCACTATTTGGTTAGTCTATCTTTCAGTTGAGTCATGGCGAAACTTTGTGCAAGTGTGTGAACAAATTATTTGACTTTCATTACCAAGTGAGAACTTACTGATTTTAACTCAATCTACAATAACGACAAACCCAATAAGTGGGGTCTGGGGAGGATAGTGTCAACGCTGACTTTAGAGAGGCTGTTTCCTGTAGACCCTTGGCTCAATGATGTTAACTCAATCTAAATTTGGATAATTGGCTTTTATAATTGTTAGAAAATTGCAGAACGATTTTGATTTTCAATTGTTGATTGTTTTTCTTCTTCTCTTTTCAAAATGTCTCCTTGGCATGTAAATTATCTATGTTACTTTCATTTGCAGTAATCCCCACTATTGATAATAAGCTTTGCTACACTTATTAATGTAAGAAAGCCTTTGTGAGATTAATACAGGGTTTGTTTGATGTAGTTATTTATATAATAAAGCCTCTAAATTACCTATGCCACATGGGGACTGCGTGGATCATCTCTGTTATGGTCTTCATGCATTATATGTTTTAGCTTTGATTGCTTTTACTGGGGCATTGCATCGTGTGGAATTCAGATTTCATGAACTCAAAGAGCTTTGGAGATGAATTCTTGTCTCTGCAGCTTCCATTATTTTGTCCATTTTCTTGTTTTGCCTCTTTTGTGGCATGTTTCCATTATGTTACTTCTGTGTGCTCAGCTAGGTGGAACAACTGATTAAGGTATATAAAAGTTAAAAAGACTAAAGTAGTCTCGAATACCCATTTTTTCCCTCTATGGTCCAAGCATCTAAACATAGTTCTCACATATCGGAAGCACAGGCAGTCTGTCATAATGCTGTTTGAAATATTTGTAATTTCTGTCAAGGAAAAATAACCGGTGAAAAGTTTTAGGTAAAGTGACTAACGTGATGCCATCAATGGGCTTGACTTTCATGACTGAGACACCAATCTAAAGTACTTTTTCAAGTGCTCCTCTCTATTTGGATAATAGAAAACGTACATATCCAATTTGTTACAAATAAAATCCTGTTTGTTATGGGTTGCTTATGTTATGAATGAGGTTCATGAGGGTATATCATGGCTAGAAATTGCCTCTAGATTTTTGTTATTGGTTATGGTACAAATTTCCTGATCTTGTGCTATTCTGGTAATATGTGGGCGTCAGATCTTTTTGTTGATTGCCTACAGAATTTCTCTCGTTATTTCAACAGACAAGTTTCCTTGTGCTGGCATTCTTCTCTTTCTCGATTTCTCAACCTCTCGTATCACTTATGAGCTTGAGGAAGAAGGATCATAAGGAGTACACAACAATGAGTTAGGCATCAGGCATACATGATAGTGGGATTCTATTACAGAGGGAACTGGCGAGCATTTTAGATCCCAACCAATCTTTTGATAAGCTCCTGCTGAACTGAAGGTTCTGGCAGTCCTTCATGACATCTGAGGACAGGTTTTATTCTTTCTCCTTTTCTAAAAAAATACCATATGATTTAGAACTGCGATGACAAAACAAGGGGGCTCATATCTTTCCAACGTGATGGAATTGCATATGTTAAGCAGTGAACAGGAAGAGTAGGGAGCCTAAAATCCATATACCAATAGATTGAACAGAAGAGACATGATATCCGTATGCTAGACTTCAGCAGGAAGGTCATGGGTTCGAGCTATGGAAACAACCTCTTGCAGATAAGGCTGTGTAATATTAGACCTTGTGGTCGGGCCCCTCTCTGGACTTCGCGCATAGCAGGAATTTAATGCACCGGGCTGCCCTTTTATGCTCCAGCAGCCAGATTCTCCCGTTCCTAATGATACGAGCTAACGTTCCGGACAAAATTTTGCTATGACAGATTAGAACATCCAGGGTGTAGTTTACCATACTTTATATAAATCAATATGAAATACCTTTGATATCCTTCATTGCTTTGTGAAAAATCAAAAATTATGATGGCGTCTATGCTGACAGCCGTAACCAGGAAAATGTAACTTACAGAAATGAATTAAGTATATTGCAGATCAATCATGCACCCAAGCGTGTGGCCTAGTGATCATGAAGTTGGTGAAAACCATGAGAGACCAGCGTCCAGCAGAGATAACGCTCAGAGGTTTCTGACAAATTGCCTTATAGAGATGTTGCATGTTGGAATAGTGATTCAAGCTGTTATCAATGTGGGAACTTGCCAAAGTACTTGTGCTGATGGGAGATTAGGAAGTAGCAATTAATTAGTCGAGACGCGCATCCTGGAGTTCTCTTGTCGAATAAATTCTGATGCTTTCTTTGGAAAGTCCATTTAAATTTTGCTTGCCGCCTTTAGTAGTTGTCTTACTAAACTAATATGAATTTGTTCTTTTAACAGAAGGATTTGAAGTTTGAAGAAATCCGTCTTCGAAAAGTGCAACTGAAGCACCAAAGGAACCTCTTTTCTGTTTTGTTGGTGTAGTTATTTAAAGAAGTTCCGTTTGTACATGTTACAATCCAATTTTCTCTTTTGATAGGACTTGACTAATACGACGAATACAGTGCAATTTTAGAACTTAGAACTATATTTGTGATATTCGGCTGCTTTTGTTCTCTGTAATTAATTATTAATTTTATATGAATATTGATTATTTTGTATGTTTTGGGTGTGTATTTGTATATATAGATATATAGTGAGTTTTATATCTTTCCAATAATAACATACAATGATAAAGTTTTTTGGTTGTTTAAAGATAACAAACAATTAGCAAAGTAAAATTCGGTCACTGAAAGCACTTCTAACAATCTAAAGTTTGTACGACCGGAATGACATTTAGTAACTAAACGTATTTTAACGATTGGATTGAAATCTGGTCATACGGCTAGGCTATTAGTGATTGCTGATGACTTCAATTTTTTCGGCTGTTATTAGCCAATTTTCCTTGGTGCAAGTCTTTTCTTATAATGATGCCTATGATGTTCATTAATTATGGAAGAATTTGTGTACGGGCAAAATAGAGGATAATGTTACCCCCGATTCCCCAAAAAAAAAAAAACGAGAGTGAAGCATGATCTAACGCAATCTCGAGCGAAGCCGAAGGGTCCCTCTTTTCGGAGCCGGGGGGATGAACGGTGCATCCGGGATTGGGCACGGCTAAACAATGGATCCAGACCAAGTAAAAGTTTTGAGACCAAGGAAAAAGAGAAAAGGTTGAGCATGACGAGCAGGGAGCCGTAATACTCGTCCTCAACGGGATATTACAGCACAAATCCCGTCCGATATCAACTGCGGATCGATATTTACCGAAAAAGAAGGTTTTTACCTTATTTTAGACTATTGAAATTTCCCTACTATATAAAGGGGAGAACTTTTTCATTTTAAATATTGACACGCACATCAAAGCAATACAAGTTCAATTGTATCTTCTAGCTATTATTCAAAGTGTTCTTAAGTTACTCTCTTCTTTAATTGCAACCAAGCTCATATCACGGGCTCGATGAGAGCCAGTTTTCAGTGTTCAACTTAAAACAAGGCTTGATTGTTACATCGCAATTGGTTTGATCGTTTATTCTCTCTTTAATTTAAGAGGTCAACGACAAGAAGGTGGAAGCTTATAATTCCAAGGTCGATCAGATCCCGGAGCGCCTCTGATACTGAAGGGGCCGGATTCTAAAAAATTATTCAGAAGCCTTTCCCCGGAGTGCAGCGCCGAAGCCAATCCTGAAGAGAGAGATTCTGAATGCCCGACATTCCCAAGTATAATGGTGTAACGACCCGACCGGTCGTTTTGAGCATTTGCACTTCGCTCGCTAGTTCTCGGGCATGAGTATCTCCGTATGATGCATTTTGACTTATGTGAATCGTCGATTTTGGTTTTCTTAATATTCAATTGATTTGGAAGAATGATTCTGAGCTAGAAGCTTTAAAAATTTGAAAGGTTTGACCAAGTTTGACTTTTAGTATTTGACCTCGGAATGGATTTCTGATGGTTCTGTTAGCTTCGTTGGGTGATTTTGGACTTAAGAGCGCGTCCGGATTGAGATTTGGAGGTCCGTAGTAGAATTTGGCTTGAAATGATGAAAGTTGGAATTTTGGAATGGTTGACAGGGAGTGGAATTTTTGATATCGGGGTCGAATTCCGATTTCGGAAGTTGGAACAGGTCCGTAATGTCAAATGTGACTTGTATGCAAAATTTGAGGTCAATCCGACGTGATTTGACAGGTTTCGGCATCGGTTATGGAAGTTTGAAGTTTGAAGTTCATTGATTTTGAATTGAGGTGTGATTCGTGTTTTTAACGTTGTTTGATATAATTTGAGGCCTCGACTAAGTCCGTTTTATGTTATAGGACATGGCATATTCGGACGGGGTCCCGAGGGGCTCGGGCGTGTTTCAGATTGATTTTGGGCTATATTTCTTCATGTTTTCTGTGTTGGTGTATTTTGGTGTCTGGTGTCTCAGTCCTTCACCGCGTTCGCGAGGCAAGAGTTGTGAATGCGTAGTGTATTTAAATGGCAGTGGCGTTTGCTTCATCGCGTTTGCGAATATTGGTCCGCATTCGCGAAGAGTTGGGGCTAGTCTTCTTCGCGTTCGCGTAGAGTTGAGCTGGGGGCTGGAGTGGAGGATCTTTCTTCATCACGTTCGCGAGGCTTGTGCCGTGTTCGCATATGTCCGTCTCTAGTGTGTATCGCATTCGCGAGGCTTGTGCCGTGAACACATAGAGCATTTTGGTGGCTTGTGTTTTGTTCATCATGAACGCGATGGTTATCCCGCATTCGCGAAAGAGTTGGCCTGGGCAGAATATAAAATACTCTATTTCGAGGGTTTCAGCTATTTTTGCATTTTTGGAGCTATGAAGCTCGGATTGAGGCGATTCTTGAAGAAATTTTCACCATATGAATTGGGGTAGGTGTTCTCTACTCGTTTTTGATTATATTTCATGAATCTATCTTTGATTTTAGCTTTTGGTTGAGGAATTTTGTAGAGGAATTTGGCCTAAAGTTTGATAATATGAAATTTTCAGTTTTGAGCATCGATTTGGAGTCGGAATTGAGTGAAATTAGTATGGTTGGACTCATAACTGAATGAATTGTCGGATTTTGTGAGTTTTATCGTGTTCCGAGGTATGGGCTCGGGATGGACTTTTGATCGATTTCGAGTTTTTGGCTCAAGACTGATCTTTTCTGATTGGATTGGTTCCCTTAGCCTTATTTGATGTATTTGAGTTGTTTTGGTTAGTTTCGAGCCGTTCGTAGGTCGAAATGCGCGTGATGGAATCTTTGGAGCATCACTTGGATTGCTTGGCATTGGTAATGCCTCGTTCGAGGTAAGTAACTCTTCTAAACTTAGTGCTGAGGGTATGAAACCCCCGCAATACGCGTTATGTGATTGATATTGAGGTGACGCACATGCTAGGTGACGGGCGTGCACCCTGTGAATTGGGACTCTGATGTTCCTATGGCATTGTATAATGGCCCTATTTTTGTTGATATATGTGTTTTCACCATGTGATAAAGTAACTGAGCTGTCAATCATGCTAGATATGTTTAGGCTTTATGCTGATATTGTTAGGACCCATAGTGGTCGTTTCTTACTGTCATCTCACTGATTTCATTGATACTTCGTACTCAGTCATATTCATGCATCCATATCGTATCTCAGCCTCAGTTGTTATTTTTTGATACATCATATCATTGTTGTCGGGATAGTTTCATGACATTGAGAGCCCGAGAAACTGGAGAGATTGATGACTCAGTGATGCCGAGGGTCTGATTGTGAGGATATTTATTTGATCGGTCTGCACGACATGTTTCATTGATTTATTCCATGATTGGCTTGATATATAGCGCATGGGCTATAGGAGCCCCTTCGGATTCTGTACAGACACCCAGTGAGCGCAGGTACCTACTGAGTGCAATTGACGATTGCCGATTGCCAAGTGATTTGGGAGGATTGAGTGATTGGGAGGACTGAGTGAATTGATACTCTGAGAGTATACATATGTTTTTATTACTGAGTCCCATCGCATTTGACATGCACATGACATACCGTCATAGATATGCATTTTTATCATGTCGTACGGTATCACGTCATTCATGACTTTTCACATATATTGACATATGGGCATAGAGAGGTACTTTTGCACTTGCTACTTGGAGATAAAATGAAACATCATATTTACCGTTGAAAGGATTTTTGGGGAAAAAACTCCCAATTTTCAAACTTACTTGCATTTTCGATGTTTTCGGTGAAGGAGTGGATTTTCACTGATATACTTGAAAAACGGAACTATTTTCGGAACTATGAAAAAGATAAGCATTTTATCTCTGAGTTACTTCTTTATTTAAATGCTTTATGCTGTTATGAACTGTTGTTGTCTATTGGTGTTGGACCTGACCTTTGTTCAAGCTCGTCACTACTTTCAACCTAAGGTTAGGTTTGTTACTTACTCAGTACATGGGGTCGAATGTACTGATACTACACTTCTGCACGTTGTGTGCAGATGTTAGCTGTTGTTGTTGCTGTGCTCGATGGTTGCCGGATTGAAGACGTACCTGTGTTCCGATTGTGGCTGCCTCTTGTTCATGGTAGTCTTAGATTTATCAAACTCTGTTTATGTACTTTTCAAACAGAAGATGTATTTGCTTAATATCGGCTTTGTAAATTCTATTCTTAGAAGCTCATGATTTGTACTACCGGTCCTTGGGAATGTATAAGATTCGGATGATTCCTTTGTTTAATCGTCTTATTAATATTTCGAAAATTAGATAGTTATTAGTTGGCTTACCTAGCGGGTTGGAATAGATGCCATCACGACTAGTGAATTTTGGATCGTGACAAATGGGACCACAGATCCAAAAGAGCATGTAACCTCCTATACATGCGCAATCAAGAGAAATGACATAGAAGACAACAAATTTGAACCGGTGTTGTTGAAGAAATTTGAGGAAACCGTGTCCAAAAGAGCGATGATATGGTATCACAACTTGCCTCTGAATTTTATTGATTCTTTTGCTATGCTCGCGGATGCGTTAAGGCCCATGCCGGTGCCATCAAGGTCGAGACGAGGAAGTCGAACCTTTTCAAAGTCAAGCAAAGAGATAAATAGATGCTTAGGGAGTTCGTGTTGAGGTTCCAGATGGAACGCATGGACCTACCCATGGTCGTGGATGATTGGGCTGTTCAGGCGTTTACTCAAGGGCTCAACCCCCGAAGTTCCATGGCTTCTCAACAATTGAAGCAAAACTTGGTGGGGTACTCGGTGGTCACTGTAGGACCCCCTCGGGGTCTATTTACCCCAACAGAGCGAACGATAGATCTAAGAGAATCATTGACCAGGAGCCAAGGCCGGAGTACAATTTCAATGTGGATGCTGCAAGTATAGTGTCGGCTATAGGGCGCATCAAAGAGACCAAGTGGCCTAGGCCATTGCAGTCCGATCCCGCCCAGAGGGACCATAACTTGGTGTGTAAGTACCACGGTACTCATGGTCGTATGACCAAAGATTTTTGACAGCTAAGGGAAGAAGTAGCTCGATTATTGAATAATGGGAACCTTCGAGAATTCCTAAGCTAACGGATCAAAAATTATTTTAGAAACAAGAACGCCAACAAACAAGCCAAAAAAGAGGAGCCCCAACACGTGATCAACATGATCATTGGGG